AGGGCGGTCCAAAGGCCCCACAGCCACACAGCCCCTGCCAGTGGCTGGGTAAGACACCGGCGGCCATTGGCTGCGCGGTGCAGTGTGTGATTGGCTCCATCACGTTTTTGCAGCAAGATGTCATTTGCTGGGTGAATCTGGGTGGCCGCTGTTCCACCCCGTCCATCGCAATAGGCCATGGGCAGAAACACATCCTGAAAGACACCTTCTCATTGGCCGTGCTACACCCGGATTCCTGCTCCCAACCGAGCTCCCAGTCTATCACCTTCAGCTGCAAAAGCGGATCAGACCCTGCTACGCACGATGACAGGCACTGGAAAGGTGGCTGCTGGGTTCTGGTGTTCCCTGTGAAATGAGAAAATTGAGCTTTCTAAACCAGACAGAGAAAACAGACGTTTTCCTGCCCACTGCATCTCATCGTGCTGCACACAAACACACACAGCTGATAAGCACGTACTTAACTCCGCACGTTATATTGTGCATTTAATGCTAATCATCAATTCCCTTTCCTGCCCAGAAAAAAATGCACAGCTACACCAATGACAATGCTTTCACAGTCCATCTTCAAACAGAGGACAGGATGGACTAACAATAAGCGGCATTATAAACATAATAATTAGAAGAGCAGAGTAGGAAAGATTAGAAACCCTGCTGTTCTCTTCACACTGCATTCTTATGTAAAAAGGATCTCTGTTTACAGGATTGCTGTGGTGTCTCCAGTGGCAACACAACATCCTAACAAAGACATTATACCACTGGAGGCTTTATCCAGCTCTCTAACCCTGCAAACTCCTCTCAAATCACTATAAAATGTAAAAAGAGAAGGAATATTTGCACAAGGACACCTGGTACATTTATTTATTGACTAAATAAATGTTTCATAAAGGTTTCTTCCACTCAAAATCAACAAGCAGAAATGACATAAAATGTTAATAGCCACGATTAATTATTCTGCCTTAGTAATTCTGCTCATACAGTCATTATGCACACTGTCAGGCTGTCTGTAGATCTTAGCTCTTAAAGGAAAAGCTGCAAGTTCAAAATGAACCCAGACAGAACTGGAATGCTCCTGGTCAAAACAGATACTCTTCAGCGAGCTGATCACACCAAAACCTCCACGTTCTCTCTGAGTGTGCACAGCCTTCTTCCACCAAAATCTGGAGGTGAATTCTACATCCTGTTTAACACCCCGACAAACCTAGACGAGTAGCTATGGTGAAGTTTCAAAAATGTCTTGAGAACTGCAGCTTGTTAAGAGGCTTTGTCTCTGCTCATGATAGGTTATTAATTTCTCTACAGTTCCAAAGATGGACTTTCACTTCATAATAATTTTTCCACTACAGTACAACACATAGGTAGATAAATAAGGATGGAAGGGCTCCTCAATGTCCAGCCCATACTAATGGTTTTAATATTTATCCTGAAACATTTCTTCTGAGATCATCAATTATGAAAAAAAGCCAACTATGTCTGACAGGTAAAGAGCACATACAACATAAATCACAGGTTATTTTGGTAGGGACTCCTTTAAGGAGGTAAACAAATTATTATCAAGAAGCAGTTTGCAGAAGCTTGATTTATAAGATGCATAGTCAAAATTAAGTGTGAAGCTGTATTTACTGTATTTAATGTGAATGTATTATTCATAACTCTGTGACTTGAAACCAGTGTTTTGATTGCTATATTTCCAGTTCTCTTAAGACATTTCAAAACCACTCAAGACTGACCAAAAAACTTTAGTCGTCCACATTTTTCAAGCATGTCCCCTAGCTTTCATGTAAATAGGATGTACTCTGAATAAACAAAATTCAGCTCCATTAAGTATATCAGAATCATGCACCACAGAATGTGTTTTGGGTTAAGTTCATCCATTTGGCTCTGTACCAAAAAAGTCCTCCAACAGAAGCAGAGGTTTGAGAAAAAGGAATTATTCTTCCTCATTCATAATCCTCCTTCAACATGGACACCAATGTTTAGGAAAAAAAATGAGAGAGCATAGGTTAATTATGTTACTCTCATGAGTAATAACCTTCTTTTCCATTGGAATGTTCACACAAAGCAACTGCCTAAATAGTGAGGTTCACAATATGAAATCCTGGACTAATTATGGGCTGAGATCTTAAGAATAAGATTAGTGGCAGTAAAATGAAGAGATCGATCATTGACAAGTTTAACCTGTTTTTTGACGTTCATTAAAAGGTAACTGAAGTTCCTCTTTAGGTTTGCTTCACTTCCTGGTCATCCACAGACACGGAGCAGTGAAACAGCAGTACGTGACTGGAACGGGAAGTCTTCCTAAAAGAAAAACATGAGCTAATCACTGGCTAGTTTTCTGACAACAATCTTCTGCATTTTGGTTCTCTGTATTTCAGTTCTCCTCATTTCATGAGGAATATGCATCCGCCTGAATATCTTCTTCTTGCCACTTAAAGCATGCACAGTAATGATTATTAACTAGGCACAGAAATACTTGTTAAACCTCTCATTAAAGTGACAGGGTTTATTTAAACTAAGTAAATGTACCCCTTTCATTTCCAAATACATCCAGGACCAGATCCCCAAATAATTAATGAGAAACATCACCAATAATCTAAATCATGTATTTAATTGAACCATACCTCAGTACCATCCAACCCTACCAGAAATACCTCCTTCCAGTTTGCAAGCTACCTGTCATTTAAACAGCAGAGTACTTCCCAGAGCTTTGATATCAACAGCTCAGATACTGTCTCACATACACACACCAAAGAAAGCTTATTAAATTTACTGGACCTGCAAGTTTTGCTTCATTCTCTAGGGAGTGATAGCAATCCTAGAACTGCATCAAGTAAAACCTGATGCTAAGATTCAAAAGCTCTTCTGTTCCCTCAGCTTTTCTCTATCAGTTTGAACAACTTTTCTTAAATATCTTCTGCGGTGTTGGAAAAGTTACATATCTATAAGAAAGTGACATAATAATTACATGCTCCAACTCTTTATCATCAAGGTACTGATGTATGAATCCATCATTGGCTGCACAAATTGCTGTCCAAAGGCAACTGATCCAAATGTGTTTGTTTTGGGGAGATATCAATCAGATCATTAGGAAAACTCTCCTTTTTTCAAGAGAAACTGAGTTCCTTGTGAGGACACAGCATGAGTGACTTCAAAGTCTCTCTATAGCATTCTTCAAGAGACACAGACGATCAAAGGTTTGTGTGAACAAGCAGGAAAAAACAGGACATCCAGTTAATTCTAATGAATCCTGTCGAACAGTGAAAAAACATCCTGGAAAAGGGCAGGGATCCCTGAGCTGCACTGATCTCCATTATACATTCGACTGGACAACGCTGGAACTACTCAGCATCTCCAGTCATCAGCAAAAGACAACACAGAATATGATGAAGGGATCCTGTAACTTCTGCACTGGAGAGCAAAGACACGCCGTATGGCAGGATACGATGGGAAACACCATCTCCACAGTGACCTTCTTGGGCAGGAACAGGGCAGCAGGGAGGCCTCACCAGAGGCTGCCCAAGGACCAAAGGACAAAGGCCACACACTCTGTACTTGCTGGCAGCAACAACTGCCTTTGTGCAGAATTTCACAGCGCAGACAAGCTTTGATGAGCCTGGAGCAGCTCTCCAGTGTCACCACCATGAGGGGTGGAGGCACCGTCCCAAGCAAGAGACGCTTGGGGGGAATGAGACAGAGGTGTGGGGAAGCCTGGGATCCAGCAAATTAAATATTAATTAGGCAGTGAAATATTAACTCTCACTTAGCACCTCATTAGGTCCTTCACAGAATCACTGAATAGTGGGGGTTGGAAGGGACCTCTGGAGATCATCTAGTCCCTGCCAAAGCAGGTTCCC